ATTATGGAGGCGCCTGCTCTGGAATGGAATCCATGGTGTTTCCGGCATGGCTCTTAGTGGGGGAGGATGGAAGTGACCTAGAAACGTGTAGCCAGGAAGCCACCCAGGGCAGTTACACTCCCACCAGAAGCCGGACCAGGTGGGGGCTGTTTCAGGTCATGCCTGCTTTTAAATATTATCTCAGCACTTGGAGGTCCCATGGAACACTTGGCGTATGACAGGGTGTTTGGCTTTTTAAATATCAGCTTCTTTCTTTTTGCCTTTAATAAAAACCAGCGCTGGTTTCTGACTCACAGGCTCAAAACAGCCTCTGCTGTTACAGAAGCTGGGACTATAGCGGTGGCACGGGCTGGAACTGCTCTCAAATAGGAAATCGAAGACCTGGGGAGAGAGAGCGGGGAGAGGGGAGGGAGAAGGGAGAGGCAGAGCAAGAAATAAATGCAGAGGTAATGCTAAGCTGGCCTTTGTGACTGGCTCCCCGGGAGCCCTGGAAAAGCTGCTGGGCCTGGAGCAAGGAAAGGGGGGTTCCTGGCTTCCTGATGACATCCTGTTTGTCCCCTGTCAGTCAGCCCTCCTGACCTCGGGATGCTCAACGCAGCTTGCCAGAGATGCCTCTGTGTCAGAGGCTCCTGAATCTTAAGCAGATACCCTGTCACGCTGAGCTAGAGGCTGTCACCTCCCCAGAGAGGGCAGGATCACTCAGAGTTGATATGGTAGCCGCAGGCAGTTGGTCTGGGTCAGGGCAGCAGGGCTGGAGCGGGGAGAGAGGGAGGCCAGGGTGGCTTCAGGAGAGGACTCTCTCCCTCTCTGCCTCCTCTCCTTCTCCTCTTGCTTTTCTTTCCCTTCCTCGCTGCCCTGCTCTGCTCCTTTTTAGCTCATCGTCTCTCATTCTTTGTCTCCATTCCTCTTGCTCTGTCTGAATCTTTTTTTCCTCTCTTAAGAAAAATGGCTGAACTTGTGAAGCTGGAGATCAAACGCCCCAGCGGCGCACGGGTGCCAAAGGACGGCCTTGCTCACACAGACCTTCGCATCTGGCGCTTTTTCTGCTCTTTGTCTGCCTCCGCAGTCCCCCGTGGAGAGGAAGGGCAGGGAGGGGCTGGTGCAGTGCGGGTGAGACAATCAGTGGAAACCCTGTCATTACTGGGGCCTGGTAATGGGGGGCAGGGAAGGGAAATTCATTCAGGGCCAGGCACCTGCTGAGCAGGGCGCTGGTATACACAGCAAGCCCCACCTTGCAAGAGAAAGTGGGTTTGGTAAAGGCTACTGTCCCCTAGCAGGGTTGGGACCCACAGCTGCTGCCTGACAACCACAGGGTTTCCCCTGTGCTTTGTGGCATGAGCGAGGCACTCACGGATGAAGGACAAGAACAAGAGGCCCCTGCATGGGGGCCTGAGGACCATCATTTTATCCCGGCCCCTAACAGCCCTGCCTGAGGGATCCTTCTTGTCTCAGTGATGCATGAGGTCACGCGGGGCACCTGAGGGTCTGTGCAGTCAGCGGAGGAGCCACTGATGCCTTGCCTGGGCTTTCTCTAGGTGTATTTATCCCGGCAGCAAATGGGAACTCGCTGAGAGAGGTAGGGGCCAGGCAGGAGAGGCAAGAGAGGCAGGAGCCTCTGCCCTCCAGAGTTGGCCTCAGTGGCCAGCTGGGACTGAGGTCCCTGTGCCTCTCTGCACCCTGAGACTGATGCATTCTGCTGCTCTGAGGAGGGGACAGAGTGAGAAGGGGTGGGGACACACAGAGTCAGAAAATGAGACACAGAATTGGTCACAGATGAGCTCTCTCCTCACGAGCGCATGCCAGCCCTGGCCCCATCTCACAGATGAGTAAACAAAGGCCAGGAAGAAGAAACTGACTTGCCAGGGGCCAGAAGGATGCACCACCCACACTGCACTCCATGGCAGATTGGGGGTGGTGGAGGCTGCAGTGTCACAGCGGGAGAATGGCCTTCTCAGTGCCCCATGCAGTCTGCAGAGGTGGTGTCTGCAATGGCAGCGGGCCTGTGGCAGTCTCCTCCATGGGTGTTCAGCAGACAGCTCGAGGCCACGCTGCAGGGAAGTGGCCGTGGACAGCCAAGGTGGGGCTGGTGGAACAGGGACCCAGGTGTCTGTGAGTGGCCACCATACAGGGGCTGCTGCTAGGATGCTTCTTGTTCTGCAGGTTTATGAGGCTGGAGACAGAAGTGGGGCTCCTAGTAGGTGGGAACAGGTCCTGAGAGGGGAGCAGGACGGGTGGCAGGATGTCCCCCTATGGGAGTGTGCGAGCTGAGATGCCATACCCGACTCTGCTACGCAGGGAATGCGCATCAGCCGCTGCAAGCTGGCACCACCACGCCCTCAGGTAGAACCAACAGGTGGTTCTATGCACACCTGCTGCCACCCCAGCATGGTAGCACCTATGACCACCTCTGATGCCACTGCAGGAATGGACTTCAGACAGGGCCTCCTGACACTGACTGCCACACACAAAACCGGTGATGGTTAGTGGCTTTCACCTGCTCCTCCGATCAGCGGTGACTGAACCGTGACCAATAGCTACACCTTGCAAACACCCATGAAGGAGGAGAACACAGAAATGACTGAGCTGCCTGGCAGGTGCTATGAGCCTCACATGTGTGTCAGAGTCACCTGTGCGGTCTCTGCTTGCGTGCTTGTGAGACAGACTGCACCTCACCTTAAACATAGCAGCACAGAGCTCGGCAGGCCAGCAACCTGGCTGTGTTTATGTTTCCCAGTGGGAGACGGTTTTAAAGCCAGTTTTTCTAAAGCAGGAACTTCTAATCCCACCCAAAGGTCTGGCTCCTGAATGCCTGCCCCCAGCAGGCTCCGGGCCAGGTGCAGCACAGGCACCTTTGGGACACAGCACAGCTCCTGGGTTCCCCACAAACTCTGCCTCTGCCACTTCTCTTACTCCCGTTGGCACCTGGGCCCAGCTTCTGTAGCCCTGTGACATGTTCTTTCTGGCCCCCAGCTCAGGAAGGATGGGGTAGCCTGCTACGGAAGGTTTGGCCAGGGTTTACGTGCCCATCTGCAGGAGACACACTTGGACTGGGTGCACAGAGCTGGTCAAGGCAGCAGGCGGAGGCCCCATTGTCTGCTCCTGAGCTCCTGGAAACCCTATGCATCGTGCTCAGAGAATCAAGCTGGGCCCTGCTGGGACTGCGGCGGGGGCAGATACACCCTCATCAACGAATTGTTTCCGGAACCAGAGCGGGATGGGACTGAGGAAGGTGGAGCCTCCTTTCCCAGTCTGTGGTCCATGGCTGTTTCCAGAGCACCTTGTGAGGAGCCAGCCCCTGTGAGAGAAAGGAAGATGGGCTGAGAGATAACCGCTTTCCTGAACAACCCTGAGGTTCAGGGAGGAGACACAAGAAGGCCACATGTTCCCCGACACGTGACCTCCCAGCTGGTTTTACAGTTCAGAGTCAGGGAGAAAGGCCCCGCTAAGGCTGAAGGTTGACTTTCCAATTGGAGGACATCGGGTGGCAGTCATGGGGAATGTGGTTCTAGGGTGAGGCCTTACAATTCCATTGGGACAGGTGGTCAGAGAGGGCAGGCAGTGGGGTCCGAGCTGGCTGCAGGAGCCTTTTTAAGGTAGTTTGTCTTCAGGATGCTCCCTTGTCTTCCAATTTCCAAATCTTCCCAAGTATGGGAAGATTGGGTTGAACAAAAGCTGAGCAGGTTTCTCTGCAGGATCTCAGAGCTATACTGACATGGACTGTGAAGTTCAAAGAAGACAGAGAGAATACAGAATTTCCTGAATTTATTTGTCTGTGGGCACTTCCTCTGCCCCCTCCATTCTTCTTTGCAGCTGGTAGAGCACCCACTGGGCTGGGCAGAAGGCCGAGCAGGTCACAGACCAAGCTGGCTCGTGCAGAGCCCCAGGTGCCAGCCAGCAGCTCCACTGTGTCCAGGCCCACGGTGACATCAGGTGTGCTAGTGTTTTGGAAAGGTGCTGGGAGACATGGAAGAGGGCTCAGCCCTGGAGAAGCAAGCAGAGAGGTCAGAGGGGAGAAGCAGCCTGGTGCTGGCCTCTCCCGTGGAGAGAGGATCACCAAGGAGAAGGGGAAGCAGCCACCGTGATGGACGGCAAACGTCCCTCAAAGGCACAGCCTGCCTGTCGTTTGCAGGAGCAGAGGCCAGCAAAAATGACCTTCTGGTTGTGCATGCCTGGCCTCGATGCCTCCGTTTCTAAGGGGACAAAGAGGTGCCTGGAGAGTGCCACAAGGGCCGAGAATCTGTGGTATGCCTTGTAGGTGTTCAGGGACAGTCACATTTTCTGGTTCTTGTAAAAGTCACTCCGTGCTGTGTGGGCTGGCAGCTTTATTATGAACCGAGGTCCCAGAGTCAGGCAGACCTGGGACCAAACCCTAGTTTTGCTCTGTAGTTAGCGTGGTCTCAGTCAGGTACCTCATCTGTCCAAGCCTCAGTTTCCCCATTTGAAGGTGGAGCCAGTAATAGAATTCTATTCCTGGAGAAGTGAAAACGAGGGAACGAAGAAGTCAAATTGCCTTTGGAATGCTATCGAGTGCTTGACACAGGAAGTGCTCAATAAATATTAGCCATCATTAATTTTAATATCAATGAGATTTTATATTATTTGTAATAAAAGTAAAGTTTAGATGATTGAGTTTTTACATTCAGTTTCATTGCTTTCAGGTGCATACAGTGACCCCTGTTGGACAAGTCCAATATTGGCAAGTATTCTCTGAGGTCTGGAATAATCCCTGCGGGCAGCGGTTTGTAATTTTGTTGCTGTTGTTATTGTTGTCCTTGTTTTTGTCACAGGGTCTCACTATGTAGTTCAGGCTGGTCTTGAACTCACAGTGATCCACCTACCTCAGCCACTCAAGTGCTGGGTTATAGGCATGCACCACCACACCTGGCCCATGTTTATAATTAATGGCTTGTTTCTATGTCTCAAAAGTTGCTTCTCAAGTACTTAAAAGAGGTTCTCTGGTTTCTAGTCCCTAGGAGACACTGGAACAGGAACTCTGATGTTTATTTGTTGATCAAGGCTTTTTACTGAGCAGCAGAGCTGAGGCTGCGGTCTGGGTCACCAGCCAGGAATGAAAAGGGAGGGGGATAAAGGGGAGAGTAGCCAATGAGAACGCAGTTCAGGGATCTGGGAGACAGAGATCGGGAGAACCCAAGATTCCTGTCTCTTCCCAACTGGTTGCAGAGAACAGAACGTATGGTTCAGTCCCTGGATGATGAAAGCATGCCAAGTCTGCAGTTCCTCCATTCTTGCTTCTTCCAAAGTAGCAGAATTGTGGGTGAGTAGTACAGCTAGACTACAATTCCCAACCTCCTTTGCGTCAGGTCAAGTTCTGGCCAATGGGAGGTGAGCAGAAGTAACGTGTGCTTCTCTGAGCCAGAGTCTTTAAGACAATGGTGCCACTTCTTCCTTGGTCTCTGTTTCCCTTTTCCTGCCTTAGCCAGGACACTGCTGAAACCCAGCTTCACCTACAGAAATGCTGACAAACTCCAAAAGGGGTAATAAAGGAGCCTGGGTCTCCAAATGACCATGAGAAGAAGAGCTACCTACCCCAAATTATTATAAAAACAGAAAGACATTTCTTTATTTCTTAGTAAGACTGGGTTTTGGGAGGAGAGGTTTTGGTTACACAGTGTATCTTCCCCTGACTAGCACAAGCATTTTCCAGTAAGCGTGACTACAGGAAACAGCAGGAGGCAGGGACAGTGGCTTTGAATCTAGGAGCATTAGCTTCCCCTTTGTAAAATAAATTAGTAACATCGAGCATTATTACACCAGTATTTTCATTGAGCTTCCACCATCTGCACAGTGCAGAGAGAAAGGCAAGGGCTACAAAAATATAGAAAATAACAAAAATATGCTACCGCCTTGACCTGTGATAGGGGGCTCCAGAGAACTTTCTAACTCACCTCCCATCGCGCACCTGCACACACCCTGTCCAGACCTCCCTGGGCCCACACCTCCCCGAACTTCAGTGTTTCATGCTGTATCTCAGCCAGGAATGCCCTTTCCTTCTCTCTCACTGGTGCAAAGTTGCTCACCCTTCTAGACTTTCTCTGTGGCTTCTGTTGCCAGAAAAGTGCACACCCCTCGGTTTTCTGTTTGGATACTTGGCGGGTGCTATTTGATCTTGAACATGCAGTACTAAGCGTGGGCCTGGAAAATGTGCTTTAAAATGTTCCTTCGACAAGCACCAATCAGGCCCCATTAGCAGGACAAGACAGAGTGGGGAAGAGGACATGCATCTTTGTCCTCGGGCAGTTTACAGCTACTGGGTAAAATGGACATTAAGCAAACACACAGCAAATAGGTAATTATGCAGAGTGCCTAGTGATGTGAGGAAATGAGCAGGGCCTAATGACAGAGTGCTGGGGTGTGGGAGGGTCAGGCTGGCGTCTGCACGGAAGTGGCATTTAGATGGAGCCTTCAAGGGGGTGGAGGGAGGGAGGTGACCGAGGCCGTCTGCCGTGGCGGGGCTGGGGTGCTCCAGGCAGGAGACACTATCGGCGCAATGCTCAGAGACAGGAAGGAGCCAGATGGATGGTTAGTGGGTAATGAGGAGGGCCACGCAATGGGAGACAGGACAGGGCAGTGGTGGGGATTGCGGGCTTTACCTCCTGAGCACCAGCCAGCCACCGAGGGCTTCAGAGAGACCTGGGACCTCATCTGATTTTCACCCCAAGGGCAATGGATCTGCAAAAGTCCAAGCCATGATGGAGCCTTGGGCCCAGGAGGTGGTGCTGGGGAGGGGAGAACAGGTGATATACAGCGGAGGAGAAGGTTTCTAACAGGGCAGAAAGAAAAGAGTGAGGGAAGGGGGGAGAGAAGAGGACCAGTGTCTCTAAGAGACTCCCCTAGAATCCTGTTGGAGGTACAGCAGCAGAGGCCGAGGGTGCCCGGCAGTGACACTGTGATCAATCTTGATTGTCAACCTGATCAGTGTGGCTTGAGGGATTCCCAAGAGATTACTAAAACACATCAGTGTATCCAGGTAGGTCACAGTGGTCCATGCCGGGACGACGTCTGGTCCCTGACTCCTTCCTCTCTGGCTCTTTCCTTCTGTTTCTGCTTCCTGGCTGCCATGAGTTGAGCACCTCTCCTGTGCGACGCCCCCTGCTGGCCACGAACTGACACCTCAGAAACCAGGAGCCAAAAGAAACCTCTCTTCCTTTAAGTTGCAGGTGTCTGCTATTGGTCCCAGCAGCCCCTACAGACACACCCTACCATAGTGTCTATTCATAGGGCCAACAGAGAGACAAGAGCATTGCTAAAGAGAGAGTCTAGAAGAATGCAAGCGACATACCGGCTCATCAGTAGGGGCGCGGCTGGGTAAAATCAAGGCCTTTCCTTAAGGACCACTAGATGGCCAGATGAGAGAATGGGGACCCTCTCTACAGATCAGTGCAGAGCTGCTCCAAGAAAGACGTGAAATGCAAAAGCAGTGAGCGGCATGGCAAGTGTTGGATCCAACCATTTGCATGGAAGCGGGGGAAACACATGGATATAAATATACAAATACATAACATCAGTGTTTCTTTTGAGTATGAATAAACTATCTCTGGAAGAACACACAGATGGATAGCACGGGTGGCCTCCGGGAAGGCGAACCAGGATAGAGGGAGACTTAGAACTTCGTATGCTTTGGTGTCTTTTGGATTTTCAGCCCCAGCAGTGCATTAAAACAACAAAACACTGGCCTGAAATGTGAGTTTAAAATAAAGAATATTCTCCAGGCTCAAGATTAACCGGCAGACATACAGGATGCGTAGATTTGAAGGCCCATGGTTGGGGTGGCCCTGTTCTGGCCTGATGAGACCTGGCTCATTATCTGCCCTCTCCTGACCCTCAGCCCTTCCCCCAGCATCCCCAGTGCAGGGACCCCTGGCTCTCTGCCCTTCTTCCCCATAAACCCAGGTGTAAAGTGGGGCCCTACCACCATAGCATGTTCCCACAGTCTCAATTGCTGCTATTAACATTGATTTTTTTCCTTGAAATCACCTAATATACACAAAATATATGGTCAGTTCTGCAGCAGCAGATAGCCTAAATCAACCCACTTCAAGGCAAAGTCCCCTGCTAATAGAGCTCCGCAGGTCACATGTCACCCTCTTGTGCCTTTGGGGGCCCAGAGCCCGTGAACCTGACAAGTGTCCCATTCTTGCTGGAGGGCTGAGAGCCAGAAGAATCCCCTTGATTCTTCACATTGGTGGCCCCCACACAGCCCATCCAAGTGACCAGGGGTGGGGACAGAAACACTGGGACCCACATGCAAGATGCAGAAGGCTGACAGGTGACCAAAGCAGGTGGTGGGTTTCAGAGTACAAGAGAGATGCCATGACCTTGTCCCTAGTGTGACTGACTGGGTTGTCCTTGCCACCACCCCATAGGACCAGTGGCAGAATTTAGGGGTCCCAGTGCCCAAGGAAAATGAAATAAGTCTTGCTCACAAATTATTAGGAGTTTCAAAATGACAGCAGCCAGCAGAGGGTTAAGCAAAGGGTCCTCTGAGACTAGAGCCCTGCATGGCCTCACGGATCACACATCCCTGCCACCACCCTGCAACGGCCCCCCGGATGAGGCCTCTGAGACCCCATGAAATTAAAGGAGATACCTAGGGCCACAGGGCAGCCTAGCAGAGGGACTGAGACTTGAGTCAGGTGGAGCCCATGTACAAGGCTGGTTCCAATGACAGTAACAACAAGGCGACAAGGATTGTGACCCACATTGAATGCCAGGTGCTGTTCTCAGCACCGCCCATGCTTTCATTCAATGCCATGCCTATGGACAAGCGCTATCATCATCACCATTTCTAGGTAAGGAGATAAACACAGAGAAGCTTGGTGACTTCAGGATCATACAGCTGCTAAGTGGTAGTTAAACCCAGGCAGTCTGGGGTCCCCAAAGCCCGTTTTCCCTCTGTACTCTCCTGGAAAGGTTGAGGGCCTTCAGGTAAAAGGAGCAGCCTACAACTGCCCAGGGTGGCCGGTGCCTGTAATCCTAATACTCGGAGGCTGAGGCAGAAGGACCGTAAGTTCAAGGCCAGCCCTGGCAACTTAATGACTTAGCCAGATCTTGTCACAACCCTGTAACTCTAGCTCATGGGAGGCTGAGGCAGGAGGGTTGCTGTAAGTTTGAGGGTAGCCTGGGCTGCATAGTGAGTTTGAGGTCAGTGTGAACTGGACCCTGTCTCAAAAACAACAACAACAACAAACAAAAGAGAAACAAAAAAGGACTGGGGATGTAGCTTAGTGTCAAGGCCTTCGGTTCAATCCCCAATACTGCTAACAACAGAAACAAAAGCAATAAATGCAGCCCGTGATGTATGTAGAGGGCTGAAATCAGCCCAGCCCGACAGACTGAGCAGCTCAGACTTGGGAGCAGAGGAGAAAGAGTGAGAAGGGACTTTATAGAACCGTTTTCTAGACTTGTTGAGACAGCTTAGGCAGTCACCTTGCCTCCGTGACCCCCGCTCTGTGGCCCAGGGGAGGGTGCCGCACCCTCCAGCCTCCTGCTCCAAAAACCGGAGCATCTACATCCTTGTCAGTGCCAGGGACTGAGGGGGCAGCAGCTCAGAAGAGGAAGAGGAAGGAAGCACTGGAAAGTACGGTGAGAAACGCGCGTGTTTACGCCTTGCCCTGGCCCTCATCACAGGCAGACAGGCAGTGACTCAGACCAGGAAAAACAAACCCAGCCCGGTGGCCCTGACAAGTGGCAGCCCACGAAATAGGCACTGCCCTACTCCCACCCCCACTGCCACTCTCACTCCAGTCCCTGCCAGGACAGAGCTGGGGAATAAGGAGGGGACTGGGACTGGGCCCTGGATGGGTGGGGCAGGAAGACCCTGCTTTGTGCCTGAATCTAGGCAAAAAGAAAGCAGGGCAGGGGCGGTTTGGGGGGCCCCAGACAAGCTCCTGACTGGCCCGGAGCTCAGGACTGCACCACACAGCTCCCGCTGCCCCGTGCAAACCTTCCCGGAGAAGCCCGGCTTTATTTTTAGTTTGTTGACAAGGAAACCGAAGCTCCAGAAACAGGGGACGCCTTGTCCAAGGACACCCAGGTAGCCAAGGCCAGACTGGACCCCAGAGCCAGGCTGGTGTGCTACCAAACTTGTTCCTCCGCGGCGGCTCACCTGAGCTGGCTTCTTCTTTTATTTCTGAAAATGAGGACCACGTGGCCACGTGACACAGGCTTGTGTGGCTGCTAACGTCATGCACTGGTCTTGAGTGCCTCGCCCAGCAGTTGGTACACAGGAGGTGACCAGGAGCCACACTGCCCCAGTGTGCTGGTCCATGCTGGCGACTGCCCAGAACTACACTTGGCTGCAAGGCCTCTCGGACTCCTCTACTGTGTGGAGCGAGGGAAGCGGGCTGCAGCGCCTTATCTGAGGCATGCAGTGCTGGCCTTCAAGATTTGGCACACAAATGGATGTAAATGAGATGCAAATGAAGCTGTCCCTACACCAACAGGAAACAAAATATGTCTGGCAATAGCTCTCATCTCTCCTTCCTCTGGAGATCCAGGGACGGCTCTCTCTGAGGAGGTGCCAGAGCTCACAGCTGTCCCAGGTAGAGGTCACCTGTGGTTCTCCCAGCCAAGTGAGGCTGTCTCCAAGTGCTTACATGGGCAGAGCTCCCTCTAGGGCCCCAGCTGGTCTTGCTGGTCTTCAGCTCAATCTCCCCTTGCCAGGGACCCTGTGACTGACCAGCTCCAGCACGGTCCCTGCAGAAGCACCGGCAGAACCACAGGAATTATGCCTGAAGTCCTGGGGTAGAGTAGGAGATATGGATTTGGCTCGGCTTCTGTTTCTTGCACAGAGCTCCTAAAACTCTTATTGTTGCTTGAGCAATAGAAGCAGAGGTGCTAGGAGTATCTTAGAGGTCCTGACCTCAGCTCCTCACACACAGCTCCCAATCCCTTGGGATATTTTGGGTGACAGGAGAAGAGCCTTGTGTTCTAATGAGGTAACTCTTGGGGGGCTCTTAGATGGCTTCATAATAGGAGCTGCTTCCAGGAAGACCAAGCCAGGATCAGAAGCTTGGAACCTCCAGCCCATCTCTAATCCTCCAGGGAGGGGAAAAGGCTGGAGACTGAGTTAATGGTCCATGATGGTGCATGTGCAGAAGCCTCCATGATAATCCGGGACTGCCAGGGGGTGTTGAGTGTGAGTGTGTAGAGGGCAGTGAGCCCAGGCAGCGTGTGGAAGAGCTGCACCCCTTGTCCTCTACCTTGTCCTGCACATCGCTTCCATCCAGCTGTTCACCCCTGTCCTTTGAAATACACTTTGTAATAAGTGGCTAAACATAAGTCGAGTGCTTCCCCAGATTCTCAGATCTGCTTCAGCTAATCAGTTAGACTCATGGAGCAGGACAGAGTTCCTCCCCAAAAGACCAACAGGCCAGATGCACAGGTAGCAACCTAGAGCTGGTGGCTAGCTCCAGCCGTGGGAAAGCAGCCTTGTGGGACTGGGCACTAAGCCCGTGGGACCTGACCACTGTCAGGCAGGTCATGTCAGAGGAGGGCTGGGTTAAAGGACCCCCAGCAGGTGCCCACTGGAGAATCGGTTATTGGTGAGGAGAAATGCACACACATTTTCATGGCTGGATGTAAAGAGTTTTGTAGTGAATGAGGTGAGTAGCAAAACCCTCGGATTTTTCCAATTTCTTATTAAAATTATAAGTATCAGTGTGGTCCTGAATGGTGAGAGATGCAGGACCAAAGGATGCAAAAAAAATATTATGAATGCATACAGGGCCTTATACAGTTATCTAGGCACATGGAAGGAAGCCACCAGATGGCCCAAGATAGCAAGTGTCTGAGAAGCAACAAGGACTGGACAGGAATGGCAGGGAACCTGCTCTGTCTCCTGCTGGGGGCTCCCTGGGGCGAGGGCCACAGCTGCTGTGTACGAGCTGCAGGCCCAGAGTCTGAAATCCTCCCCCCGCAAAAGCCAGATATCTGGACTTTGAACATGATGCTCTGGATTTCTGGTTCCATGTGTTGTAAGACCTGCGAATTTAACACAAGTTTGAAGTTTTCAGCTGAGGGGCCTCCTGTTTATAAAATTCATAATATAAATTAAAGTCACCTGTAACAGGATATAAATGAAAGGTTCTCAACTTGCCCTGGGATTCACAGATGCTTTGAAAATGCAATGAATACAGGTTAAAAAAAAGAGAGAGAAAGAAACAGAAAACCCTGGTGCAAGAAGTTATTTCCAAATCATGAAACTGCAAAAAATTAATTTCTAAGAATATAGTTTTTAAAAATAAACCTTTATGAATAAATATATTTTTTAAAAACTCAAAAATAGACCTCCCCTCCCTGATAAGTGGCTGTGGTGTGGCCGGCTGCGGCCCTTCAGGGGGAGAATCACCAGTCTCTCCTGAGATCAGCACCATGTTGGAACTTAGGACACTGGGAAACCAAGCAGCTCCCCTCCCTGGTAAGTAGCTGCAGTGTGGCAGACCACAGTCCCTCCAGGGGGAGAACCACCAATGTCTTCTGAGATCCACACCATGTTGGAACTTATGAAGCTGGGAGACCAAGCAACCAGCCTGCCTCCTTGCTAAGCAATAGTGGACCTACTGGTGCACGGCCTACAGTCAAACATCCCACTTCCTCTACCTCCTTCTCCTGTCCCTCCATTAGCAAATGGGAACCAGAAATCTGAGCATCTCCTGGGAGGTTGACCATAGCAAATAAGGGGGACTTCCTTCTACCATCTCTTTGAAGACAAATAGTTTTA